TAGCAACTGTGGAGACTCACATTTTTGAAGACATTCCATCAGGGTGTTAATACATCATTTTGCACATATTCTCCATTTCTTTTGCCATTGAGCATGAGGTTAGCTATTGGCAACAGTGCCTCTACTTTGTTTTATCAAATAAGTAATTTTGACATGCAACTTAGTGAGGGGGCAAGTATTTGAGGCATTAGGCTGGACATATTAACTGGAACAGACACCTTTTCCTGTTCATGTTGACACTAGGTCAGAAAGCGTGAGTCATCATTTGGATCACATTGGTTACATTAAGGCAGAACGCTTCCCAGCTTCATGGGCTTATCTCTCTCTCCTCTCTATGGTGAAGTTGTGGTATCTCAAAGCACATACAAGGTGCAGACAGAAGTGACAATTTTCACCTGTTCTGGCCCCTAAAAGCATTCTATAGCTGTGACCAAACAGAAGTGCATGGCTGCAGAGCACTTTAAAAGGGCCTGATTCCACAAAAATCTAAACCCTCATTGCATCAGGGTTCAGATGAAAACACTCCAAAGTAGACCGCCTTCAGTAACTTTTGTCTGCGCAGCCCTGCTTCTGGTGCTGTCTTCAAAATGGGAGGGGAAAGAGAGTGGAGGGAGTTCAATCTGGGTTTTTTTCAACCAGTGCTGGAGGGTAGATTGGGGTCCCCCCATTTGGTGCCCCCCCTAAAGTGGGGAGGGGGATTCAATCCACCCACTCTCCAGCACTTTGGCTTAAACCCCCAAAGACTGAACTCCCTCCACTCCCTTTCCCCCTCCCATTCTGAAAACAGCCTGGGGCTGGGATGGGGGAGGGGCATTGCTAGGGATAGTGGCTGCAGGCTTTAAATGGCAGCTCAATCCCCCAGCATCCGGGACCCAACAGTGAATGTCTGTGGGGTTTGGAGGATCGTAGTAACTCATGGTGCTTCCTGTGAAGTGCCATGAGTTACAATGGGGAGCTCTTCTATCTACACCTACAGTGCCTCTGAACTGTACCACCTGTTTGACCAGATGTGTTTGTACCAGTCTCCTTTGGCAATATTTTTATCTGGCACTTTGGCATAACATTCATAAAGCCAGTAACAAATGGCCAACAGATGGTAACAGAATTGTGCCAGAAGGAGTAGTGGGCAGTTTCCATCAATGTTGCTGCCAGTTGCAACACATTTCTATGAGGGTGACACTATCTCTTGGACTACTGTCAGGCAAGATTGCTGGCCTCCCTCCTTAGCCCTTGGATATTGGCTGCTTCCGCTCTTTGCAAGCTGTCTCGCATTACAGACTGATACAGGCAGATGTACCAATTGGACCTATATCAAAGAATACTGGTATGCGCTGTTGCTCACATGTGACTTCTTTATAATCTTGTAACAATATAAGTGTAGCAAAACTGCTCTTACTTTAACTTTGCTCCATTTGGGGTCAAAGCTGTGTCACTATTGGATCATGTGGATGTTACACTTGGATAATAAGGTCCGATGTGTGCTCCCAAATAGCAGCTCCCCTTTTCTTTTTAAAGTGGCTAAAAGGTGTATTTGTCTGTTCCCTCCCTCTAGCTTTTCCTTCCTCCACTGCCCCATACTAATATAACAGAGAGCAGGATTTTTTATCAAGGGTTTTTTTTTTTAAATCAATCTTGGATCCAATGCTCAAGAGGTCGTCTTTCTTCTGTTATACCAGTGGGGACCAACCTTTTTGGCAAATTAGCCCCACACCTCTGAGTGCCACTCTGATCCTCTTGCTTTGCTCCATCTGCTTTCTGTTTCCCGTCCTGTGCTCCTTGCATGATCTGATGCTCTGCTTTCTGCTCTGTCTGCCATTGTGCTGTCTGTCCATTCCCTAGTCTGCTGTGTGGAGCATGCAAAGGCTGCCTGTATGATTTGTGGCGCCTGTGTTGCAGTAAAGCTACCTCGCCTTGTATCATCAGCATCAGTAATAAGGACATTCCTATCAGAATTCTAGTGACACTTTGGCAGTGATGCATAAAATAGAGTAGAATCCCTCTTTCATAACTGTCAGGACCAGGGATTTGGGTTTTCCATTCATCACAGAAAACCACAATGTTCTCCTTTTAAGGAGAAAAATATGGGAAATAGTGGGTTTCTCCTTGCAGGCTGAGAGGGAAGGCAGTAAGAGGGGGCACCGTGTATAGCCAGGTGGCATGAGAGCAGGTCCTGCAGCTCTCTGCAGACAAGTTGGGATGTGAGGTGGAGGCCCCCAAGTGAGGGAAGGAGGGAGTTGGGGCTGGGGGCACTGCCCAGTTGGGGTGGTGCAGGGGGCTTGGGATCCAAGGCTGGGGTGGGAATGTGTGGCTGCAGAGCCTGGCTGGGGAGCAGGATGAAGCTGCAGGTTGCTTATCTGGGGAGGGTAGCAGGGGGCTGGCATCCCACCACTGGGTGCACTTCCAGGGTGGCATGATGGGCACACGCCACCCAGATTTGTGTGCAGGTTGCGGGCAGATGCAGGCTGGTGGCTGCAGGCTCAGGGCTCCCCATCTTGCTGCTTTTCCCCCAAGGGCCTCCATGTCCCAGCAGGCCGGACCTGGCATAGTAGGGCAGAGCAAAGTGGGGTGGGGAGGCTTGGTGCTGCTGCTAGGAGCCCCACACTGCCATGGCAAGATGCTGCTGCTGGGTGGACAGGGGGCACCTTGCTATGGCACCAAGCACTGAGCCTCTCTACCCCACTCTGCTGTGGCCTGCCATGCTGGGTCCTGCCCACTGGGTCATGGGGGCCACCAGGAGGGATAGCAGCAGGGCAGTAAGCTCCGGGCCTGCAGTGGGCAGCCCACATCCACCCTCCCCCATGGGTTCTGATCCAGCTGTGCTGTCTATGTGGTGGGAGAGCCTGACTCTGAGCTCTGCTCCAGCCACAGCAGCCATCATCTCCCATGGGTGGCATGCTGGGGGGGACAGGATTATGGACCCGGGTCCTTGACCCTGTAGCCCTGGCAGCTGGGGACCACCTTCAGCAGGGCTGGGGGTGAGGGGGCAGGGGGCTGTTGGTCAGGAGTGAGGGGCATTGGCAGGGCCAAAAGGCTGTGGGTGGGGAGTGAGGAGCACCGGCTGGACTTGGGGGCTCTGAGTTGGGAGTGAGGGGCAATGGCCTGGGCAGGGCACTGGCATAGGGGGGCTGCTCAGTGCCACAAAGCAGTGGCAAGGGACAGCTGGAGGTGGACCCACGTCTTGGTGAGTGAAGGGGGCAGGGTAAGCTCTGATTTTCCATGATAAAAAAACCCCAAAATCAAATGCCAACGTTTATAGGCATTTAGAATTTATTTTATTATAGTGAGTGAGGCTCTGGTAGAGTTCCAAACTGCTTTAAAATTGTAAATAGATCAATTAAAATGTTGTGTTCAGCTGATAACTATATATACAGCAGCATTTCATTTTAATCATGGAAAAATGCAGAGTTTGGATTTTTAATCAGAGCATTTTGATTTTCCTTTTAATCAGAGAATTTGTAATTTTTAAACAGAGAAAACTAGGATCCCTGGTTATGACGATGATGACAAGCTCTGCAGTGGGAACAGTAACGTCTTGTTTTCATCAGTTTATCAGCAAATGTGACTCAAAGACATGTTAATGAGACCATGCTGTTTTTACACAGCGACTTTTCCAATAGCTGTCAGATTAAGATGACATTCCCACAAATTGTTCTGAAGAAAAATTAGATTTTTCTTTTCTTATTTTGTGGATTTATTGTGGGGGCTGAACTGTGTGGCTGACGTAGACATTCTCTGGATTTGTGCTTGGTTGAAAAGATTTCACCCTCACAAGCCTAGATTTCATCCTGTCGTGATGTCAAAATCCTGCGTTCATAACCTCATATTGTCTTGATTTGAAAATGATTTTGGCATTAGAGGTGCAGCTTGCAATTTCACTGGAAGAGCCAGGAGGAGGGGAGGTGGCCCTAGAAAGAGTAATACCCTGGGAGGCAGCAGAAGCTAATGGTTAAAACATGGAAGTTAGAACTGGCCAGCCAGCGTCTACTCAAGTACTTAAATAATATGCCAGTCCTCTAAATGGCATAGGTAGACCCGTACACATAAGACAGAGGTTATTTAATTCAAGGAGGTGGCTGGCTTATTTCACAGGCAGATCCTGGGGCCAGCAGCCATTTTTATGGGTTGGGTGCAGTGCCTCCCCTCCCCCCCCCGGCTGAAGGGCACTGGTGGCCCTGTCCTTCACTGCTGATTGGCTGTGATTCTGTGAAGGCTGTCCGTCACATGACTTCTCCCCTTGCTGTTGATTGGTTGCAAGGGGTGTCCATCATGCAGCTCTGCCCCTTGCCACCAATTGATGGAGAGGGGTGAGGCCACACAACAGGTAGCCCTCTCAGTCAATCAGTGGTGAGGGGCAGGGGCAGCAGCCCTTTGTGATGGTGGCCTTGGGCTGCAGCACCAGCTCCCTCTGGGGAGACAGCATTTTATTTTCAATAAACTTTTCTTTTCTTTTCTTTTCTTCTTTTTTTGCAGCGAGCTTGCTGTTTTTTGCAAAGCCCACCCTTTTCCTTGGAGCCCACGTGAATTCACATTTTTTGCACAGTTTTGAATTTAGTAGGTCCCTACCTATGTGGTGCTCTCTGTCTTCCTCTTACTGGAAGGAAAATTAACTTGATATTTTTTAAATCCTGAAAAGTGTTTTTTATGATTTCTTTATCAACAGAGTTCTTATGCTCCTTCCTCTGCTAACAGCCTCTGTGACATTTGGAGTCACTTCGACCTATTTGTCTCTGTTTCTGTATTTGGTGAAAGTAAGGGTGGGAGATGTGGGTCAGAATTCTTTGAGAGCCTTAGATGACAAATGCAAGGTGTGAAATGTCGTTGTTAATGCACGCTGCAAGAAAAACACTGGAGAAACTTGTGTAGTTTAAACTAAAATATAAATCTATTTAATACAATGTAAATTTTTGCCGTCATTGGAAAAGCTCTGGAAATAAAATAACCTATATGATTGTTTTCATGATTGATTGTTCTTTGACTAAATTAATTGCCTTTTGTTTCAGGGTATTTGTGCGAGCAGTGTAGGGAAGGAGCCACATACTCAGATGCAGTGATCTCTCCAAATTTAGAAACCACTAAAATCATGCGAGTTCCTCATGCTGTGTCAATGGCAGACTGCACAGCTGCCTGCTGTGACCTTTCAGGTTGTGACTTGTCCTGGATGTTTGAACGGCGTTGCTACATTGTGAACTGCCAGCATAAAGAGAACTGTGAACCTAAGAAAATCGAAACGGTTAAGTCTTACCTTACCTTTGTACTGAGACCCTCTCAGCGACCAGCCACGTTGCTAGGGTATGGACAGGTGCTCCCAAATATGGTTCATTCTGTGGGACACCAGAATGAGCCCTCTGAGGAAGTGAGTAATTTGAAGGAGTTATCTTTGCTAAGTAAAGATCACAGCCTTGAAGAGGTACCTGAATACACAGATGACTACAGGGAACTGGAGCAGGACCCGTTTCAGCTGAGCATCAAGCATGAACAGAAGGAGAGCACTGATTACACAGACTGGGGCCTGATGGTGACTAGTGAAAATGGCTTTAACTCTTCAGGTACTGAAGACAATGGTGAGAATCTGGCTGAAAAAGACAGGGGAGTCGATAAACTGGAAAACCTCATGAATAAAAACAGGTCTAAATCCAACTCTGCTACTGTATCCTTCAAGGAGAAGCTGCCATTTCTTGCAGAAGCTACTCCATTCCCAGTGAAGAAAACAGCAAATGAAGCAGTTGTTCCACCACCTATCCAAGCCAGTGATAATCTCAGGCAAGAGGTATGTGTATTCCAAGATCCCAGAAGATGTGGTAGTGTTCTGCACTGTAGTGCCTTTTCAATCAAAACAGAAGATTGCTTTGTAGAATACTCCCTAAGGAAATCGAATGCTGCCTTGCATTACTGACTTCTCATATTACTGTATGAGAGTGAACAAACCCTGCTTCCCCAGGCTAAGCTACTTGAAATGCAATGCTACTTAGATGAGCAGAAGGCCCTCAGATGTCTGTCAGCCATTAAGGAGTAAGTCCACTGGTAGCAGAGCAAAGGAGAACCCATTTGAAGCTCTCAGGTTTGCGGATGTGGGTCTGGATTGCAATGAGTCTGTGTGGTATTTTGCCATTCTGACCTTCAGAGCATATTATCCTGGAAGAGCTCGCAGGATGGTTTAGCTCGGCATATAGCATGCATTTTGACAGGCCCTGAGGGGGAGTGGGATTTAGGAGAATAAACAGAGAGTTAGGACTGAGAAATTTCAGCATTGAAATCTTGGCTTTGGCTCAGGCCTAAATTCAGTGTGTGGCCTGTTCAAATACAACCAACTCTGTGTTTCCCCATCCATAAAATAACCTAGTATAATAGTGCAAGTGGTAACGTACTGAATAATAAGTATTTGTATAGTGTTTTGAACATGTAAAGCACCCTATCAATGCCAAATAGCATTAGTGGACACTCCTTTTCACTCTGCCCTGAAAAGCTTATAGCATAAGCAAAGAGCAGACACAAGAAGTGAGTATGACAAACTATGTGTGGGAAGTGGGGAGGCAGGATAAGGGCAGTAGACTAGAAATAAGATTATGTGGTTTAATGGGATTTATATCCCTCAGGCCTTGCCCCTTTTCTGGTCAGCTGACTTCCCCCAGGCTTTCTTGTAGGTACCTCCTAATCAATCTCATTAGCTGTTTGCTGTGGCAACCCAGTTGCACTTGTGCCCTGCCCTTTCTGGGTTGCTGCCCAGATGTGCCACACTGTCTGCAACCCCCTTTTCAAAAGCTTAGCTCTGCCCATGTGTATATCTGTGAAATCACCATTTGTTCATAGGACAGGTCAGCTGAAGAGCACTGTTCCATTAGCTAGATGATTCAGAGTTGGCATCTTGTTTACAGGCATTAAGAAAACAGAAATGAAGAACACCAATCAATCAGGTCTTAGAAATAAACAGTAAAATTACAATATACAGACAAAAGATGCAAATTTTCAGTACATAATGAAATGGTGGGAATGTGAAATATTATGACTTTCTGATGTCAGATCAATGGCCATTTCTGAGTATTTGTTGGTTAATATTACTGCATCATCATTGTCACCATACATGGCTCTGAGAACTGCTGGCCTTGCAAATTTTCCAAAGTATCTTTATTTTCTTGGCAATCTCCTGATTTTATTGAAAATACTGTTGAGGTTGTGAATTTTCTGCAGAAACTTATGGCAGATGTTTTGCTTCACGTGGGACTTCCAAATCAGTTTGCGCATTATAGAAATGTATATCTGACTTTGAACAATGATTTATCTTAATAACTTTCTCCCTACAATTCATCTCATAGGTTCTAACACCTTCCCATAATCCTTCTTCAGACAACCTGGGATTCACACCAACTATTTTAGAGAGAACCCAGGTCTCCACAACAACTCAGCATAGTCTGACTCCAGATGGAACCACACCACTTACTACTAACCCTCTCCCCTCTCGGTCTACTGTCACACAGCAATTTGTATCTCCTACCAGTGGGGCCAAAGCAGGTAACTTTTTTTCAAGGCTGAACTTCGGGCAGAAAGTATTGAGAAACTGATGCCTCCTAAGCCAAAACCCAAAACAGATTCCTGATGTGCCTGGCAGACTGTGAGTGAAATTTCTTTTTGCCAAATTGATTGGGGAGCAGAAGCTTTGTACCAAAGTGCAATTTATCACTAATACGTGAGCTATCAATAGCACAACTTTCATATTGTGATACTGAGTGACAAAGAATCTAAAAGCCAAGGATCACTAATTCATTTGTGGTGGCTAAGGAGCTCTGTCAAAGGGGGATCAGCTAGGGAATCAAAGAGGCCTTTGACTGTTTTTATAGTGTTGAAGCCTGGTCCTTTTTAATAGTCTTCCCACTCGAGCGTCTGTGGAGATGGTAATAGTAATATTATCTATTGGGGGGGGGAAGCAAACCCTGTTCAGTGTTTTGCTTGATTGTTAGAGGGTAATGTTTTTCTTTTGTGCCTGTCAAATCAGCATTTCTGAACAAAGGCTGGGAACAGGTTTTAGTTCCTTTTCCTATTGGATTTCTATTTTCTGGGGCTGGCTTGTTTCCTGCCATAAAACCACACATCCGAGTTTGGCGAGTATATAGCCCACACTCTTCAGCTGTAGGTTTATAAACTCCAGGCTCAATCTCAGGCATGTCTTGGACAAAAGAAATTAAATTTAAGGCCAGTCAGAATTCTGCCCACGAGTTCTTTATTAAGACCACTTTTGTTTTTGAAAATGGATTTATTTTTGGACCTATTGAGAAATGTTGTTTTCAGCAGGGGTCTCTGGAAATTCAAAATGGCCTGCCTTAACCAGACCATTATCATTAGGTGACCTTTGAAAATGCTGCACTGTTCAGAACCCTTGCAGCATGTAGCAGCAGGGTTCCACTCACCGGTGACTGTAACAGCCAGACAGCTCTCCAGCTGTGCCTTCTTCCTCAAGCACTTCCAGCCTAAGGGACAGTCACAATCCAGGTCAACTGTTAGTGCTTTTCTTATGCATCTTCTATGCAAAATGCAGGGGTGTTTTCCAGGAAATGATTGTGTCATCACTGGGACTACTCTTCTCTCACGAGGATGGGATCTAAAAGCAAGATTCAGTCCTTAATTCAGGACTTCCAACTCCTGGAAAGCCTTTGGTGTAGATCTGTTTGAACCCTGCCTGAAAGTATACTGCCAAAAAGAAACCCCATTACTGAATAGATCTGTGTAGATAAGAGTGGTTTGCAGGAAGGGAGATTTTGTTCCTAGGTGAAGAGCAGCATGAAATAACATGCAAAGTGTTAAGCCATGGTTAAGCCATGGGTTCATGGCAGCCTCTTATTGTAATGGAATTTTAAAAAGTAGCTCTCTGAATAACATATTAGCTATGCCTTTTAGAGCATCACACAAACATGTAAATGGTACACACTTGACAAAAAAGGCAAGAGCCTATTGCTTTGGTAAAGACTATGCTGAATTATTTAGTATGGTTTTTTTTATTCTAATGCTGATTGCATTTTTCTTTGGAGAGCTTCCAACAATAAAGCTCTTGGAAACTGTTCACAAAACTGTTATCAGAATCACTGAGTGTTGTCTGGTGGATGACTCAGGCACACACATGATTCAGTTTAGGGCTGAAATTTTGCCCTTAAGCAAAACAAATGCACTTGGGCTGAGGAAGAGAGATTTGTGTGCCCCTAAGTGGCTTAGCAGATGGAGTCTGAAGTGTCCTGGAGAGAAAGTCAAGGTCCTTTGGCAAGTGCTCAGGAGAATGCACAGCAATAGTGTTGACTTCACCTGGGAGAAGGTGGGCTCCCTGGCTTTGCACTTGGACAGGGTTAGAATGCTGGATCTGTTAGTTGGTCCCTGGTCTGCATTCATGGACCATAAGTAATGGGAATACAGAAGAGTTATGCATGGGGAAAGGCAGAGGCTTTCTTTTCATATTTTCTATTAGTACACTTGTTGCCTCCAAGGGCCCGTTAGTTCCTGCTATAATGTGGTTCAAAGGACACAGCAGCTACTCAGTGAATATGATGATACTGTTGGCCAGGTGATCAGACTGGCTGACAGGAGGGATAGTGAAGTGTTAAATGCAAATCCAAAGTGCATTTCTGGTTTATTCTTTTTATACGTTAGAAATGCTTACATTAAGCCTGCATCATTGCCCACGCATGATAAATCATTTTTGGTACTAAGCACCTTACAGTTTTCTAATTAAATGAACTTACTGTACTTAATTACCACATTCCTATATATTACTTGTATCCATTGTGACAAGTCTGGTTGTACCAACCTACGTGGTTCTCTGTTATACGAGTTTGTACTACCTCTGTTCATCTTGGGATGTTCCTGAATAAATTCCAAATGGTTGGATGCACTCTGGTGCTTTCTATTGAATTTCAGGATTGGAGGTTTTAACACTTACTGCTCCTGGTAATATTAATGTAGGTGCTAAGTTTATTCTGATTGCAACTTTGGGGGAACAGTTTGTAACCTGGAGAGAGAAAATAAATCCATAATCATGATTATTCTTATCAATTGTAATCTGATAATTACATTTCCTTGATAATTTATAATTTGTACCTACTTTGAAGGTTGCCAGTTGATGAACGATGACTGTATCCCTATTAAAACGTTTTAAATTAATTTCTCCTTAATTGTATTATTTTTTAAATGTAGAGTCAATAAAAGAGCTCATTGTATCAGCTGGTGATAACATCCAGGTGACACTCCCCAGAAATGAAGTTGAACTGAATGCTTTTGTTGTCCCACCACCACCTACAGGTGAGTTGAATGGTCTTGTCATACAAGAAAACACAAAATATTGACATTTGAATGAAGTTGGACTTCATGCTAGATGTACCTCATAACTAGGAAGGAATTCTGAGGGTCCAGTTTCCCCTTCTGATATGTCGAGATCCTCTTGGCCAAACCCTGTGAGCACTGATAGACCTGCAGGCCCCCACTCTAATTCACGGCGCTTTACATAAAGCACCATCAGTTAGTGTCCCCCAACCCAACATACATTTGTCTGTTGGTCCAGGAGAGTGGGGGTGCTTGGGGATTGAGCTCCACTTCAGAGATGATCAAGCCTGAAGATGCTGCCTGTATCCTCTCTTCCCTAGCCTTGCCCCCGCCCTGCCCTCCTCCCCAGCTTTGGTGCTTCTATAGAGAGTGGGGAGAAGTACGAAGGAGCGAGCTGTGGCCTGGGGTTTGCCCAGCCTGACAGAAGTTCCCTAAGGCACTCCAGAGCAGAGCACCTTTATCTGATCGCACATTTGATGAGGATTAATTTGTTGCGTGATCGGCACTTTTAAAGTGCTCTGCAGCTGTGCATGTGTGTCATGGCATGGCTGTAGGGCACTTTCAGGGGACTGACAAATGTAACTTCTGTGTGTACCCTGTGGCTCTAGCTGTGAGAGGGGTTTCTAAGTGGACTTTTGAGTCTAGCTCATTGTAGCCTTTCTGCTGTAGCATTCATATGGACTAGCCAGATCGTCTTCTAGAAATGCACTACGTCAGACCTTACATTGATTGCTTCCAGGGGAGCTACTTATATTATTTACAGGGCTGGTGGAGGAGCAGAGGATATGGATTAAGCTTTTAAAGCATTACATTGAACTCTTAATGCTGCTTTTTAGCTGCTAGTGGAAAGAACAAATGCACTGTAAGTGAGCCTGTAAAACAAAAATGATTCCAGTGCTCAGGTCAGTGATGGTGAAGAAAAGAAGCTACTTCAAATACCACTGAGTGAGCTACAGCACCATAGTGCGTGCTGTTATTTCAGAGGCTAAAACATGAGAGATCATTATTTTGACTAAAATTTTTGGCATTACAGATGCTGTACCTAATTTCATCATTTCTCCCTGTATGTTTAGCTTGAAGGCAAAACTATTGATTACTTTTCTTCTTTTTCTACCCTAGAAACTGCTTATAGCTATGAGTGGAGCCTGATCAGTCACCCTGCTGACTATGAGGGTGAAATGGAGCACAGGCATACACCAACACTGAAACTCTCACAGGTAAGTGCTCTGAGGTTTAGTGTGACTTGACCCATCTAACTGTTGTGTGAGGTCTTGGAGTCTGTGGTGATGTCTGCATTTGGTTTGGTATGTATAGCGAATCCTGAACTTTTCAGTTTGCTTCATATTTCAGTCCAGGTAATTTTTTTTCTTTTTTTTTAGTTAGTCAAGAAGTTGGGGAAAAATAATGTTTTCTTTCTTGTGTTCTTATAAAAAAAAATCAAGAAATTTTTAAATGAAAAGGTGTTTTGACTCGAACAATGAAAATCATTGGTTTTATTCTTTTCCCCCACCATGAACAATTCAGCAAAACTCTCATGAATTTGTGTTTCTTTTGGCTACAAAATTTCACTTATCTTTAGATACTACAGTTTTGCTTCCTGCAGCTTGCTGTTGAAAAGTCTATGGCTAGGGAGAGACATTACACATAAACCAGTTTAAGTGATCAGAAACTGGTTTAAACCTGTAACAGAATAGAAGTTCAGTGCATATAAACTAGTTTAAAAATGGCTGAAACCTGTTTAAGACAAACCTTGTTGAATGTAGTATCACATTTAACTGATTTGGGTCAAACCAGTTTATGCAATGTCTGTCCCAGACCCCTTGCTGGTTTAAGTTAAACCATAGGCCCCCAGCATCCCAGATACTTTGCAGCCCTGGACAGGGCTTTCTGCTCCAGAGAGATGGGCTGGCCTCTTCCCTCAGCTCTCTGGCTGGAGCTCTGGCACAGACTTGCAGGCATAGCTGCATTTGCCTGGCTTCCCTGTTCCCCCTCCCCTCTCCTACATCACTGATCATAAAAAAAAAAGTGGAGAAGTGTCTGTGTAAAGCAGACAGGACAAATGCAGACAGGACAGTGTCTGCTTAAGGCTTTTTGGAGCTAATCAACAGGTAGCTGCTAATGTCCCTCCATCCTTCCTTGGAAAAAGTTGTTTAAGAAGAGCTTGAACTAATGAGAGAGGCTTTTGTTTTGCTGATGGGCTGATAACTGCTCTGTTATCAACTCCCTGCTGGGCTGTTCAAGAGCAGTTTATGGGGGAACTCCTCCCTAATCTGAGTGTCCTGTCAGGGCCTGGCCATGCCCCCCCAGCTCAGCCGTGTGGAAGGGAAGGGAGGGCTGCTCTAGTGTCCCCCAGCATCTGCCTGCATTTCTTCAGTCTAGAGAGGATGTCTGTGCAGTTACAAATGGGTTCAGGTTAGACTAACCTGCAAATATTGAACCAGTTCAGGCTCAGGCTTTTTAAATGTCTGTCCCTAACCTATATGGTCACTGTTTTATAAATCAGTTTCACCTTCTACTGAAAGTCTTAGATCTTTGACTGGTATGAATCAGCAAAATCCTGCTGAGGCATTTTGCAAACAGTAAGGAAAATATGATCTATAGAATCGGAGTAAATTGGGCACCCTGCTTCTTTCTCATGTGTAGACTCATCACAGAAAAGTTTTACTGACTGACAAAGTTCCCTTGCTTACAATTTTTCAAAGGACTGATCTTTTCAGGCAGTGATTCCCAAATTTTTAAGATCACTAAAACATGATCAACCCTCAGAATTTCCCATGCATCCTTATCATTAAACTTTTAATTTGATGTGGGTCCAGCAGGACTTTGCAAGCCACAGTTGGGAACCACTGTCCTAGGGCAGGGGTTGTCAACCAGAGGTATGTGTACCCCCAGGGGTACTTAGAAAGGTCTTTGGGGGTATGTGTGGGTGGGCAGAATCAGAGCACACCCTGGGGCATGGCAGTAGCATCTCCTTCGGTGTGTTCACCTCTTACCTGGGGGAGGGAGAGGGGCACACTGGGCACTGCTGGCCCCACATGGCACATTGTGGTGCCTCCCCACCCCCTGCCCCAGCTAGCTTTCCTGATTGACTGCCCTCAGCCAAAAGCCGGTGACGGGTGGTTGTGGCAGCCACTGTGTGCAAGCTCTTCCCCCATTTGGCCGCTCCTCCCAGTGCCACCACTACACTCAACTCAGGAGAGCATGGGTGGGGTGCACGCCTCCAGATCTGCATGTGAGGCAGGGTGGCACAGGGTGGGCTGGGGCTGCACTAGGTTGTTCTCGGTGGGTGGGCTGAGGAGCATTGTGCTTGGGGCGGTTGGCAGTGACACTGGAAGTGGGGGTTGAAGGGGCTATGGAGAATTCTGGAGTGGCTGCAGCCCCCCATAGCTCCCCTGCCAGCGCTGCTTCCACCGGCCCCAAGCGCAGCCCGACCAGCCACCCAGCCCCAGCCCACCCCATGCGCACAGATCCAGAGGCATGCACCTCCCCATGCCCTCCTGGGGTGTGTGCAGCTCAATCCTGGGCCTTGCCTGGCTGTGCAGCCCCTGCCCCACTCCCTCCCTCACCGAGGGGGGCCTACAGGAGCGGGGCTATAGAGGGAGGAGGGGGTGCAGTCACTCCAGAATTTGCCATAGTCCCCCAACCCTCCTCCCAGCTTCCGCTGAAGTCTTCCAAGCAACTCTTCTAGGGACACATCTCCCCCATTCCCACACCTCCAACACAGCTAGCCCCAGCCACCTTTCTGCATACTGGTCATTGCTGAGTCAGCAGCAGGACACAACTATCCCCTTGTATGTGGTTTACCAGTGAAAACAGGCCCACTCTGACCTTTGCAGCCCTGACCTCCTGAGTCCCTAATGTGCAATCCTGTGTGCAG